GGGAAATTCTATGTAATTATATATGTATTTAGTTTCAAGAATCTTAATAAAGTACTAGTGTAACTGCTTAAGCCAAATAAAAAAATAAAAAAAAATAACTATTTAAATTGACCTTGATTTACTAAATAAATGTGTTAAAAACATGATTTTATTATATAAACTACTTAATTTAATTTTAACTTTAATAACAATCAATTTTAATTAAAAATTAAGTAATATTATAATGTATCTGACTTAACCATCTTTCAAAGATAAAGTTCTAAAATTGATTAAATTATGTTATACTAAAAGCTGAAATATAATTAACTATTAATTGGTTAACTAGAACAAATTGATATAAATTAATATTTTTAATCATAACAATATATTTTTATGTTATATTGGGTTTCTAAAGTTAATGTTGTCAATGAACAGCTTTGAACATGAGTTTGAACATTTTTGAACATTTTTGAACAAAAATATAAATTAAAATTACTTACAATTTTGTTAAAGTAGTCTATATACTTTTTTAAGTAAAAAATATTTAGAATCTAAAAAAATAAATAATTATATATTTTTTAGATAAATTTATTAATTATTAAAGCTTGGACATGCTTTGAACACTTTTGGACGCTTGGACATTGGACGTTGAACATGGTCAAAAAAGCCTTGAACAGTGAAAAATATACAACACTGCCTGAAGTAGAGTTAGAGTTTAGCAGCATAATTTATAATAAACAAGTGGGCTCATTTCATTTTAATCCGATTTCATTATGATACGCGACATTAATTATAAGATGAAACAGTATTAAAATAATAAAGAAAATATAAAAAGTTAGATTAAAACCTACTTTAATTAATTTAAAAAAAAATTAAATAAGTAATCAAAAAATTTTAAAAACTTTTACTTAGTATTAAAATTAAATTTTTTTTAAAATACAAATCTTTTTGCACCAGCCATAATATAGAATTAAAATCTTATATAGATACTTTTTTAAATTCATATTTTTTTTATAAACTCAACACGATCACAGTTGTCAATGTCTATGTATAACAGGTTATTGAAAGCATAACTAACTTCATTAATGTATTAATATTAATGATACGTATTAAATGTTGTTACACATATTAAATTAACCAACAAAATTTTATTGTGTACATACGTACGTACGTTGGTTGTTAGGATTTTTATATATACACAAGTTTGAAGATTTTGGTAATTAAAAATATACCATATACGCAGTAGCAAAAAATACTTGTTAGATATAAAATATGGTAGTCGTTTTATTATTACGTAGTTGTAACACCTTCCTATAAAAGAGATATACCTAATTTGGACATAGCAACGGAATTGTGTGAATTGATCGATATTCGAAGTGGATACATAATGGGAATACGGAGTCGTAATACTCATTTTCCACCGGATTGGCGTTAGTCCTATTTTCTTTGTTAGTGAGTCGGTTGTATATATATATGTGCGTATACCTACCTCTTAATTTAGAAGTTATTTAAAAATTATCACAAGAACTGCCAATCAAAGTTTTTTGATTGTAGGCCTGAACAGCCTTAATTAAATGAGTGGAAAATAAATGTGTTTGTGAATCACAAACAGATCTTATGCAAACGTGAGACAAGATCAAGTTTAAAAATGCGACTTTAGTGCTCATGCTTTACGTATGTACGTAGGTATCCACACATGCTACATAGCAGTATAATGAACCGAGAACCTTGCGCTTCTCGTATTGGTTTAAAACAAACTGAATCACTTTCAACCATCATTGGCGAAGAACATATAGCTAAAATTGCTTCATGGATTGATAATAAACCTGTTACATATGATATAACGAATAATCCTTATGAGTTTAAATTACTTCTTCGTGGAAGCAACGATGGATTCACACCAGATTCATTTTGGAATTTATGTGATCAACAAGAAAATACTGTTGTTATCATGAAGGTTAAGGGCACTAATGAAATTTTTGGTGGGTACAATCCACTTAAATGGGTCAAGAATCATAATGGTCAGATGAAATGTAGCAAAAGCTTTATTTTCTCATTAAACGAAGATTTTGTTGATAAATCTATTTTGAGTCGCGTAAAAGTACCAGAACATGCACTTTATGTTCATTCTACTTATGGCCCTACTTTCGTTGATCTTGGCATGTATAGCAATTTCAATTACGCAAATCAATGTTTTTATCAGCAATACTCATATAAAAAATCACTTCTAAACATATCTATTAAAAACTTTTCTGTGGATGAATATGAAGTATTTAAAGTTATTAAAACCAAATAACTAAAAAATTTGATTATATTATCAAGGATATCTAAATATTTTAAATTATATATTTATAGATTTTATTATAAATTATTAAGAGATTAATATAACAAAAAATAATTATTTGTAAAGATAACTTAATTTACTTTTTACAATCAGTTTAGCGACAAAATTTAAATAACTTAATAAAATTACGATTTTTATAAGTTTATTCACCAATTTGACAATTCGGAATATCGAAAATAATGAATATACTTAATATGTTATCTATAATTAATGAGTATGAAGATGTTACATATCTGACATGCAAGCATTATTACGTTATTATTATCCGAAGGACATTATGGAAGACACCAGGTTGTGTGACCGCAAATTAAGCGTTTTCCTTCGGATCTTAAATGGTCTATTATATACTATAGACAGGCATTAGATATTAAGGTTTAAATTCTAGTTAGCATAAGGTTTTTGAAAGTCCTGAACATTTTTACTTAGTGCATCAGAGAGGTGTTAGCTAGTACATTTTTGAGATATAGCAACTATGGTGTTCAACACCATTGATGCATTTTAATAAATCCGTACTATAGATATTTTGATCAATTTGATTGTCAATTTCGAGTCAAATAGAGAAAGAGAGCTACTATATAGAAAAATTAAGTTTTCTGATTTTTTTTAAAACTAAAAATTATATAGATATATATAAGAAAAATTATATTTATAACACCATGTTATATAAAACTTATGTGATATCTCAAAAAACCTCAAGAGAACTGAAATCAGGACCTATTAGGACGTTATATCTAATATATAATGTATAATAAACAAACACTTATTTATCTTAAAGCTGAACCCTAACTCTAATTAAAGCTATATAAGTGTTACATAACATGGGTGTTAAGAATAATATTTTTATATATAATTAATACAACTTAATTACTATTTTTTAATTTAGTATTAGTATTTTTTGTTATAAGCATATATATCATTTTTAAATTTTTTTATATTAAATAATATTGTTGCTAAATTTAACTTACAATATTTTATATTTTTTTATTAAAATTACAGTATTATAATAAGCAAATTTGTTTTAAGTATAATTAGAACACCAGTGTTATATAATACTCATTAATATTTGTTGTATTTACATTTAGGAGGGCTGCATTACTGACTATAATTTAAAAGTTAAAAAATAATGTATCTTTGATCTGCATTAACAAATTATACTATTATTCTCTGACAATGATATAACTTAGTGTATTAAATTATATGACCTCTTCATATAATTACATAAAGCTGACTGGAATTAAAATAAAGTTGACTGACGTTAAGATATTAATCTTGATTATCAACTAATGATAAGCAATAACGATGGGTAATTGTTGACTCGAGATTATCTTTTGTTTTTATTGCAAACATGTCAGAGTCTGGTCTTTGAATTCTTAATAAAGCAATTTTAAGATGATAAGTAGATGTCAATAAATTTTTGTGCATATTTAGGGATCACAAAAAAATACACGTTAACTTGAAATGTCTGGTTCTGTTTATTTTTTAAAATTACACTATCTAACGCTAATATTTTTATTTTTATTTTTTTTATTGGCAATACTATTTTGTAAGTGTCACCTTTAAATCGGAAAAAAGAAATTTATTATCGGAAAAAAGAACATCTATTTTTACCTCGACGTTACATGTATAACCGTAAAAATAATGTTTTTCATTTTGTTCCTTAAAAATTTAATGCATTGATTCATGATTAGATTAATAAGCAAGTTTCCGGAAGAAGAATAAATAATTCCTAGTTTATTTAGCAGCAATAAAAACAACGGAGAAATTAGTCTATATTTCATTAAAGTAGAAAAGTGCGGTTTCAATTTGAACACTAGAAGGATATTCCTAAAGAACTTATAGGTACGAATTATATGATTAAAAATCAATTTATCTCGTTATCTCGTTCTTAAATAAATCATTTTATCTCGTTATCTCGTTCTTAAATAAATCATTTGTAATTTCTCATAATTTAAAATTCATCCGCTGGCTATCTGCCATATTAGTTCAACGGAATACATAAAATGTAACAGAAATTTCATGTTTCTTAGATAAAAAAGTGCGAATAAATAATTATTAATAAACCAATTACAAAATAGGAACTTATAATGTTAACGCCTATAGAATAATTTTCTAGAATATTTTATAATTAATAATAAAAACAGATAACAGATTTTTTTTAGGACAGTAATTACGATAAGCTCCTTAGTTCAATGGTATATTTGCAATTCATTAGTGAATTTATCAATTTTTGGATTAGTCTATTGATGGTAATCAATCTTTATTCCATTCTAGTACTCGTAAAATTTTAATCTTCAAATAATTTTTGTTCAACATTTGAAACAGAATAATTTAATTGATAATATCGATATTATAAAACATTATTAATTGATTAATTAAATTTCATCGATTCAATATCCAATGTGCATTCGTGATTTTCTTTATGCCAGTACATCATCGATTGCATGACACCATAATAATGAATCAATGCTGCTGCTACTACAAAAAAATGAAATATTTGATGCGATGAACCCTATAACGATAATTGTTAGATGATTTAGTAAGTATCATATATTTTCATTAAAAAGAAAAAGCACGCAATGTAGCTTACACAAATATCGAATTTTCCAGGATACCATTTTTCTGGTATTCTAATATGATGTAAAATAATTAATATAGCCTTTCATTTGAAAATAGATATTATCGTTCATAATATTTCTAATAACATGTATAATTATACATCACATTGTAGGTGACACGCGTACATACCTTGTTCCATAAACTAATGCTCCTGCAATATAAAGTATACCAGTTAATATTAACCATCTTAACGAAATTACTGAAAAACAAAGTGTAACCTGTAATAGAAAAAGAGAGATTGTCACGACTTTAAACAAAATTATCACTATGAATTAGCGAATATCCTTAAATCGAAATATATAAAATATATACCCCATAAAGAATTATTGCATGTGTTAGTGGTATGACAGCACTTAATCCCAAAGCTAAAAATAAACATGTTCGAAACCATCTAAATTGTGGATACCTAAATTTTGGATATATTGCTAAACATGTCTAATTATTAAAAAAAAAAAAACATTAATAACTAAAACTAAAGCATTACAGAAATATTATGATATGATTCAATGCTTTTATTTGCGTACCGTAGCAATTCCAAGAATAGTTATAAATGATATATAAAATATTTTTGCAGAATTATTACAAAAAAAACCTTCATAAAAAGAAGAATGGTCATAAATTTTCATATAAAGAAGTCGTGTAATATAGTGAATAATTATAATACCAACCATAATATAGCGTTGGATAAAACGACCCTCTAGAATATTTCTATTAATTCATATATATTTAAAAAAAAAACTTCATATGAACACATAACAAGCTTGAACTTACACAATCAAAAACACGATCCCAACATAATCACATCTATTCCAATTAGCGCATACCTACAACAAATATTATTAATCACGTTCGTAGAAACCAATGGATCCAAGTTTGGTAATACGTTTAATGAAGACTTACTTTGTCAGAATGGCAACAAAATAAATGAAAGGTCGAACTAAGCCCTAGACAAACTATAGCGCCTGCCAAAAACATATAAAGCACGAAAAAATCTTGCCAAGTGATTGTTGATTGATTTGTTAAAACGAAGTATGTTATAAATGTAAGGCAAACAAATGTAATGGTTCCTAGGAGATGTAACCATATATTAACTTTTTAAAAATATTTAACACGCATTAATATTTTTTTCTTATCACAATGTAATTAAGTAACAGATCAATAGTTAACTTACCAAACTCATTATGAATGTAAAATAATGAATATGCGCACTTGAGATATGAACAAGTTGGTCTTCGGTATCCTAAGAAATTATGTTTCAAGATGATTATATCATTGTATACTTTCAGAATTTCCAGTATATTAGCCTATCAAAAAAAAAGCATAGCATACCACTGACTATATCACGATTATCTTGACACCAATAAGGCAAATCTCCAAAATTACAAAGCGAACCATATTTCGCTGCCTCATTAGTTACTTTACTACTATCATTTAAATCATTATCTTTATGTTTTTCTTCTGGTTTAGTTGATAATTTATTGTCTATAACATTACTTGAAATAATTGATATTGTCGTTTCAACAACTGCCGATTCAGATAAAGATCTTTCTAGATTTGTCATTTTCTCATGGGAGGACATTTTATTGACTCTTTTATAAAGAAATATTACTACAATGTGTTTTAATAGACATATGTACTGTATATACAGTATATAATATTTGGAAGTATAACCAATACAACTAAAATTCTGCAAATGAAGAAAAGAAGATACGAAATTTAAAGCGTCCAAAGCTTTAATGATGAAATTTGCGTTATTACCATCATGGAGGCTATGAGTAACCTTGCACTGAAACCAAAAAATTCAAACACATAAACAAACTAATCACATTGTATGTATTTTCAACTTTTAGTATCAGATAAACTCTTAAAGGCCCAATCGAATCAAAACAACAAAAGAAACCGTGAAATTGCCATAAACAATTATTATTTTATGTGATGTATAGGCTAGTAAATTGCCGCGTGTCGTTTGTAAATTTAGACAACTTGGACAACTTAGATATAAAAGGATTGAATATAAAAATTTCGTATGCAATTCATAATTTCAGTGCTAAAACTGTGTTGGTATACTTAAAAATCCGAATAAGTGCCTTGATTTTATAATAACACGATTGAGACTTCGCCACCGACTACATACAATAAATAAGCAATCAATAAATGATTATAAAAGATATCGGTATTAAAATTATTTTCCCAGATAAATGTTATAACAGATAAAAGTGATTGGTCTCGTATATAATCATAGGAAACGATAAATAACACGTTTATCCATTGAGTAGAGGAAATGAATAGTATTGTATAACCAATACAAACTTATAAAATTGTATTTCTACGCTCATTGAATCAGCGCGATATACTAAATCGGATCTCTGTGTCAGGCTTTACAAAACCTTCTATTTATACGTATACATAGTAGAAATCAACCCATATATAGAAAAAATTTATCGATTGTACTTTGATTCATTTGAATTGATTTGTAATTTTCCTGAAATTACCAAGAGAAAACCGACGCAAATCATTCTGAGATATATTTCTACATCGCTAAGATTTGATATACTTCACTATTATATAGAGATTAATATCCGAGTAGAAATTGTTATTATATGGATATAGTAAATTACCCAGATAGGGATTTTTCAATCTCTCTATACATTTATTTTTGCTATTTGAATATTCTTGTTGCACAAGATATAGAGAATTACATTATTAGTGCTCGTCTTAGGAACATGTCTTATCGCAGAATAACACATTACTTTACATCATAGACATTCAACCTAGTCCCGCAATATTAGTTCAATCATGTGCAAACTGAGTTCAAGAATTTGTGAAAGCCCTCTCCAATTATTAATAGACAAACAGATACAGTATATACGCGAACTAACGCCTATGGATGCTATTTATGGGGGGGGTCCTTAAAGCCGGGTTAAAAAAAGTTGCGTTTTCATGGTTTTAGATTTACCTTTTTGATACAGCTAGAGTTAGTAGGTTATTTAGATATCAATAATACAATTGATGCAGTATGTAGATCAATATATGAAATCTGCCCCGCTTTAAGGGACCCTTATTTAGGGACACAGTTTGAAAAGAGCTAATAATTAATTTAACCGAAGACTTTTAATAGCGAAAAACTATGGTCCACACTAAAATAAATTAATTACGGGTTCTCTTAAAACTATGGGTCTCTGAATAACGTCCATGGGAGTTAATCCTTATTTTCCAGACATTTCACAGGTCAAGGTTTAAAATTTTCACTAGCCTATCAATATAGGATGAAATTAAGTTGATATATTATAAATTACACTTGACTCCCGCATGTTGATAGTGATATTAATGAAAGATCATATTAAAGTTGACATATATGAGGGAATTTTAATATAGTTTTAATATAGAAAAATTCATTTTATTGTTTAGGTTGATATTAACGAGGGTCAAGTGTACTATTAACGTTAACATGGGACAAAGATTAACCTAGATGATAGTAATATATTAATGAACATATAATTAATATTTAATAGTTAATCAATTAATTCACTTTATACTGGTTGTATGCTATTATTAAGCTTGTAGAAATATTTCGACTTTCGAAATTTGGCATATCGAGATTCTCGAAATCCTAAAGTGATGTCGAAGTTCTAAATTAGAGATAGTACCCGGTGGACATTTGTTTTATATGAATATATAATTTAATAATACCCGGGTAAAAATTTTCTTGACAGGTATAGGATAATCTTTATTCTAAATGATATTGAAATGTCAAATAATTTTAATGTTTTAAATGAAATAAAAGATTGATTACATTCTCAAATGCACCATAGATGTTTAACACCATAGTTGCTATATCTCAAAAACTGTCTAATTAACCAAGGCCAGGTATATTAGTATAGGTGCAGACTAGAGTTGGCACTCGAAACGAAACCTACCCAAAACTAGTTTCGAAAGACTAATCCGAAACTAGTTTCGGATTTCTAAAAAATCCGAAACTCCGAACCCCGAAATTCCCAAAATTATAATCCAAAACCCCAAAACTATAATCTAAAAGTTTTAAAAATTATAATATATAAAATATAATTATTTTAATAAAATATCTAATAAAATATAATATATTTATATAAAAAAATAAATAATATTAAAATCATAAAATTTTATGTAACGATGTAATATATCGATATTAAAATTCAATAAATATTCATATAATCTGCATTTTGAGTGTCTTTTTATATGTATTTATTAAAATTAATTTTATATACATTTACAAGTTGCTAATTTTCAAGCTTGAAATATTTATAGTTATTACATTGTTTGAACTCAGACAATTTTCATTTAGGTAATTATTTCTAACTAAATTTATAATCTATTATAAAGAAATTCAGGTTTACTGTTCTTAATGTTAATTATTAACTATATTCAACCAAGGTAGGTAACTTTTATTGTGTTCTGTTTCTTTTTATTTTTATACTATATATATAGTATTAATATATGCTTATTATAATTTAAAAAAAAAATAATATACAAACTAGTTACAAATGTGAGATTAGAAGCAAAGTAGAAAGAAACAAGCACAATTAGAAACCTAAAACTAAAAACAAAAATTATGATTTTATGATTGGATACAATTTTGGAAAAGGCTAAAAGTAACTAAAGAAGTGCACTGCATAACAAGAAGAAGTAATACAAGAAGTGTATTTATAAAATATATAATAAATAAATTTTTGATCTTAAAGAAATTTAATAAAAAAAAGTTAGATATATACATAACAACAAAATATCAAATATGTTAAAATACAATAAAAAAAACATAGTTATATTTGGTATTATGTAAGAGACAAATAAATTTTTAAAAAAGAATTTACTATAATTGTATAAAAAGGATTAAAAAAAATAAGTTTTTTTATATATGTTATATATAGCATTTTTCAAAAAAGTAAAAACAAAGAAAATAGAAATAAAAAATATTAATTAAAGATCTAATTTTTTAAAAAAAATACAAGACAGATTAATGCAACTTCTAAGCATAAAGGCAAAATGCATTCAAAAAATCTGTGCCAGGTTTTGTCAATCATTGTCCTTATTCACAAATCAGATTTCAAGAATTAGATGTAATGTAACATGATCAGGAAATTTTAAAACAAACATTCATTTTGTTAAAAATCGCTCATTTCTCAAAAACCAGTATAAAAAACCACTTTTAGTGCTGTAACAAAAAGTTTTCTTGAGTAATTTTACTATATAACTATCTAACTTCTAACTTTATACTAAGTGCTAATCATAACATTAATAAATTTTAAGAATTATTACTATATTACAATGATCAACAAATCCTGGTACAGATTTTTTGAGTGCAGACAAAACAACATTTTATAAATATAATAGTAAAAATAGCTTGAAACATTTTTTATAAACAAGTTTAAAAAATATAATATAAATAAAAAAAAATAAACAAAATAAAAAGAAAAAAAAGAAAAACTCAAGTAAAAAAAAAATAAATTAATAAAAGATAGAAGAAAAAAAAACAAGTCAAAGAAAAAAAAATAAATTAAAAAAGTCAAAAAAGCAATGTTAAAATTTGGTATAAAAAAAAAATTATTTTTTATTATAAACTTTAAGCAGTCAAACAAGCAGCTTACTTTTGTTTAAAATAGTGCAACAGGTTGTATTTAGATATTATTAAGGTAGTCAAATAATGTTATATTTAGTTGTTAGATATATTTATATAATTACAAAAGTAGTTCATAAATTTTAATAAAGTATTAATATAATTGCTTAAAAAAAAAGTAATAATATTTATTTATTACTTAAATTCTTATTTATTTTAAAGAATAATATTATATATTTAGTATTAAAAACTTGAATTTTTATATTCAATATTTAATTTTAATAAATATTTAATTCTTTATAATTATACAAATTAAAATTTGATTTATAAAACAAAAAAAAACTTTTTATCAAATTATTATTTTAGAAAGTTATAAAATTTTTTTAGTTCAATTAGTAATCTCTAAATATTATAGTATTTGCTTATTAGTATCTAAACTCTTTTATACCTATATTTCATACTTTTTTATTTAAAAAACTCTTATTAATTTTACTATATTCAGCTTAGTTTTTACAAAGTTATTGTATATCAAGTTGACCTATTCAATAATCTTGCTAATTAACTTATTCACAATTATTAAATACTATTCTTTTTAACATTTTTAATTAATAATTCTTATAATTTTTCTATATTCTATTTATCAATTAATTTTTTATTAAGATTTCTATTTAATGCTTTATTTGTATTATTTATCAAGCTTATATTATAATATTTTGAATATCTTAATATTATTTTCAACAATAGTCTATTATAATATCTGATAATAACTGTAAAGCAATTTGGCTCTATATTAATAATAATTAAAAAATCTTTAACTTTGCTTACAACTTTTATTTCTTTATTCTAAAAATCTTTTGTATTAAAAATCTTTTGTATTAAAATTCTTCTGAATAAACTACCTGTTTCTCATATTATTCATAAATATAACCTCTTTTACTCTTCTTTTTGTTATTAATGCAATTAAACTAGTT